TGATCCTGGTTTCTTGTCTCCCCACAAATGCTGCCCCCCTCTAGTTAATTGTATTTGTCTAGGCTCTGTAGGACTTTACTGAGTTTCTGAATTGGTCATTTGCTAGGTGGCCTAGTTTGTGTAAATAATAATGTGTGGGTCTTTTCTCCATGTTCTTTTTGGGGTTTTATTGTTTACAAACTTCTTTTAGAATTGAGTAAAATAGCCAAAGCATCTTTGACAGAAGGTTCTGCACTAGACAAAAGGATCTGAAGCTAAGTTGGGGGACCTTCTAAAGTGAGGATCTTGAACCAGTTTTTCTTTTGTTCCCTCACTTCCCCTGTTTCCCATTTTGGACTAGATCTTCGTTGGTAAAAATAATAATAAGTCCCTATCTTCTACCCTTTTCTCCCTCAAAAGAAAACCTACATGCCCATACACAGATGATTCTTGGAATGTCTCTTCAACTTTTATGTGACTTATGCAAAGATTCTGAAGATGCTAGGACTCCAACTTCCCTTCCCCTCCCACACACACCTTGTTCCCAACCTGAGTCCATGTTTTTTAAACGTAATTCTCATCAAATATGACATTTGTGACCAAACCTGCTTGTTCTGTGATACTAGAGAAAATCAATTGGGGCTTTCCATGTAGAAAGTGGGGTCAGGAGACCAGGAAAGGGAATATGAATGTATGTTCAAGTCACTCAGGAACTTGTACACAGGTGCAAGAAAAGTTATGTCAAAGTGGCCACAAGATTGTTTAATAGGAGACGGACGAATGTAACGCCATGTTTACTGCTAGAAACCAAAGCTTTGTGAGAAATCTTGAATTTATGGGGAGGGAGGGTGGGAAAGTGTGTACCTGTCTGTCCTTTCTCTGATCCCTGCAGACTAAAGCTCCCTTGGACTTTGATGATCCCAGTCCAGGGGTGTTTTATTTCATGATTGATTTGTGCTGTACCCGAGTACTTCCTTTCCCCTTTTCTAATCATTTTTTTTTTTTAACACATGCTGACTCTTCCCTACCTTTCTTTTCCTGGGAAAATACAATGAATAAATAAATAAATACTTATTGGTACTCAAACTGTCCGATTCTTGTCAGATATGTAACACCCACTCCCCCCCCCCACCCCGTTCTGTAGTTCCTATCTTAGATTGGGACTCAGAAGTCAGGGACAGACCATTAAAATTTTTTGTTCACCACTTTGTTAGGAATGAATCTTGATTCTGTCTTCATAGCACCTCATTACAGTGGATTTTTGTTTCTAGTTGAGGCCTCTTGTCCCTTCCTTGGAAGCTGCCACATTCAAGAGGGGATTAGAGGCTTGGCATGCATAAGAATGGGGTTGCCTATGCCACTGGCTGGGATGAAAGCATGGGGCCAGAGCTTGGGGCATGAGACCCTAATAATACTTTGTCCCCTACTCTTCAAAGCCTTTTACAAATCTTAATTAACCCCTTCTAGCACCCCCAGAATAATAATGTCATATGGAACTGGGGAAGTTGAGGCCAAAGGAGATTGTGAGTTCGTTTACCAGCCTAATAAATTGAATTTGTAAACTTTTTACGGGAAGATTTTACAAGGAAAAAAAAAAAACTTGATTTCAGGCCAACAAGATATTAACAAAAGTACAGAGAAATGGGATTAAATTGTCAAGTTGGCAACATCAGAGCAAGGGGTTTCTGCCTGCGCTATTTCCCCATAAGTAGTATCAAAACCTGAAGCTGACTTACCTGACTGGTCTTCCTGCCAAAGATTCCAGGCTTCCCAGGTCCTAAATGATGGTTGTTTGGTTATTGAAGGTTGGGTTGCCTGTCTCCTGGTCTTAGTTTAAGCATTTTAATCATGTTACAATAGCCAAGTCATGTCAGGTGCCCTGTACGCACCTCATATCTGTAATCTTAGCTACTGAGAAGGTGAATCTGAAGCTTGAGGTTCAAAGGACAGGTAAGTCTCAATTATTCCCTCCCTCCCTACATCACCACGACCACCACTCTGTCAAAAAAAGAAAGTCTGGGGCTGAGAAAGGTGTCTCAGTGGTAGAGTTCCTTGCATGCATGAGGCTCTGGGTTCCATTCCCCAGCACCACATAAGCAGAAAAAGCCCGAAGTGGTACTGTAGCTCTACTGGTAGAATGCTAGCCAAGTACCAACACACAGGCACTGAACTCTGGGCTTGGGTGCTATCCCTGTACTCTTCAGCTCAAGGTGAGCAGCTCAAGGCAAGTGCTCTACCGCTTGAGCCACAGTACCACTTCCAGTTTTCTAGTGGTTAATTGGAGATAAGAGTCTGGCAAGGGCTGGGAAGGTGGCTCAGTGGTAGAGTGCTTGCCTTGCATGCATGAGGCCCTGCGTTTGATTCCTCAGCACCACATAAGCACAAAAAAACAGAAGTGGGAGCTATGGCTCAAGTAGTAGAGCGCTAGCCATGAGCTGAAGAGCTGAGGGACAGCACCCAGGCCCAGAGTTCAGGCCCCACCACCGACCAAAAAAAAACAATTGAGCTGGAGGCATGGCTCAAATGGTAGCCCAACTCAATGACCAGAGGTATAAAACTCCAGTACCACCAGAAAAATAAAATCTCAGCTCCAAACATTTTAATAACTTAAATACTTAGAAGGAAATGCTGACTTTATTGGATACTGAAAGCCATTTTTAGTTTACATCCTTCCATGTACATGATTTTAGAAAGAATAGTTTTTTGTTAAGAAAATGCAACAGTTGGGCTGGGAAGTTGGCTCAGTGGTAGAGCGCTTGCCTTGCATGCCTGAGGCCCTGGGTTCGATTCCTCAGCACCACATAAGCAAAAAGAAAAAACCTGGAAGTGGAGCTGTGACTCAAGTGGTAGAGCGCTAGCCTTGAGCTGAAGAGCTGAGGGACAGCGCCCAGGCCCAGAGTTCAGGCCCCATGACCGGACCCAAAAAAAAAAAAAAGAAAATGCAACAGTTTCTTCCATGTCTAAAAATTCGGCAAGATTGGGTACATTGTGAACCCCTTGGTATTTCTATTTTGATACTTAGGGCTTTTCTGATTTTTAAGTTGCTCTTACAGAAAAGACATTTCTGCTTTTTAGTTTTTATTTATTTTTATTTTATTTTTGGTCATGGGGCTTGAACTCAGGGCCTGGGCGTTGTCCCTCAGCTCTTCAGCTCAAGGCTAGCACTACCACTTGAGCCATAGAGCCACTTCCGGTTTTCTGGTGGTTTATTGGAGGTAAGAGTCTCACGGACTTTCCTGCTGGGGCTGGCTTTGAACCACAATCCTCAGGGCTCAGCTGGTTTTGAGTTTATTTAGGTGGGGCTTGGAAATCTATAAACCAAAAGCTGGGTACCTCAAATGAGCCACAAATGGGCTGATACACAAAATGAAATACACTATAGCAAAAATTACTGGATTTTTGGGCTGGGAAGGTGGCTCAGTGGGAAAGCGCTTGCCTTGCATGCATGAGGCCCTGGGTTTGATTCCTCAGCACCACATAAGCAGAAAAAGCCAGAAGTGGTGCTACGGCTCAAGGGTAGAGCCAGCCATAGCCTTGAGCTAAACAGCTGAGGGACAGAGTTCAGGCCCCACGACCGGACCCAAAATAAAAAAAAAAAAAACCATTTATTTTGTCTTCAGCTCAAGGCTAAAGCTTTACCACTTAAGCCACAGCGCCACTTCCGGCTTTTTTCTTTTGTGCTTATGTGGTGCTGAGGAATCGAACCCAGAGGCTTCGAGCACGCAAGGCAAGCGCTCTACCACTGAGCCACCTTTCCAGCCCCTAAATAGGTTCTTAAGATCTCACATATGCTATGCAAACACTAGAGCTACATGGTCGGCTTATCTTTTTTTTACACAAGTATTTGGTGTTTTCCGTTTTCACATAGTTTTGATCCCAGGCCGGCTTTGGACTAGGATTCTAACAGAAGCCTATGCTGGTCTAGCCCACCAGCCACAGCTGCATGGGGAATCTCACTGAAGTGTTCCCAGGGCTGGCCTGGAACTTCGGTTTGCCACATCTCCACCTCCCAGTAGTTGGAAATATAGGCCTGAGCCACCGCCCCGGGACTCCTGAGTTTTACTAACTTGTGCCAGGACTTCTGGAGAATTCTGGTTTCTGCAGACCCCAAAGTTATCGAGATCCCTGAGGGCGGAAGTGTGCCTTACACCAGCTCAGCATCCTGCCTTAAGTATCCCAATTCGGGGTGGGGTTTCCTCAATTCACGCCCCGTGGCAATTTCCGCAGCAGCGAACTGAGGCCAACTAAGGGCCGCTGGAGCTCCACCTGGTCTCCAGCAGCCCATTCACCCGCTCGGAGCGCAGGAGACGTCTCTCAGTCACGTGACCCCGCTATCTGGCACCGCCGCCTCGCCCATCGCGAGTGTGCACCAATGGTAGCCCCCAAGCACTCGGCCCGTTCCCGCCCCTAGTTCATTGGTGCAGAGCTGGGCTCCGCCCCCTGAATGACGGAAGGGGCGTGTACCAGCGCCCAACGATGACGCAATCTTTCAGCGCCACGTAGTAAGGAAGTGTTGGCTCCCTGGCGGCTGAGCTCAGGTGCTGGGCAAAGGCGGAAAACGAGGAGACATCAGCGGGAGACTTAAAGGTACACTAAGAACATTGTGACTAGGCCACTGAGGTCTGAGGCAAAGGGTGCCGAAGACTTAGTGACTGCGAGCGCCAAAGTGGGAAATGGCTTGGCAAAAGACGGAGGAGAAAGAACTGGGCAAAGATCAAAATGTAGGCACCATAATGTGGCAGGAAGCAGACTTGGAAACTTAGAAAAAGTGCAGATAACGAGGAAGGCCCACGAAAACGAGACAGATGGACCAAGGAAAGTCCCCATTCGGCTTATACAGCTCTGAGTCGTGAAAGGTTAGACCAGTGTCTTTGGGTGCTGATGCTGTCAGCTTGCTACAATCCTGGTGATTCTCTTGAGAAGTGAATCATTGCAAGTGCTGATGACTTATGGTCTGTCAGTCTCTGTCTGTCTCCCTCCTCTCTCAAGTGTACCTGGCTCTTGTCTTGTTCTAGGTGGTCTTCTGGCTTGGCAAGAACTATGTCATGGATCAAGGAAGGAGAGCTGTCACTTTGGGAACGGTTCTGTGCCAATATCATAAAGGTAAGCCATGGCTCAGAGCACAAGCTGGCTTTATGACAGTTAGGTGATCTTGTGTCAAAGTCTATTGTTTAAATTAAGCAATCTTTAAGGTTAAGTGGGGTTTAGCCCAAGGGTCCAGAAACTTATAATTGTAATGTAGTTTTGACGTCTATATTTTTGGTAGGCCTTTTTTTTTTGTTGGGCATTCCTGGGGCTGGAACCCAGGGCCTGGACACTGTCCTGAGCTTCTTTTGCTCAAGACTAGCACTCTATCACTTCCAGCTTTTTCTGTTTGTGTGATACTGAAGAATCAAACCCAGGGCTTCATACATGTTAGGTAAGTGTTCTACCACTAAGCCACATTCCTAGCCTAGTAATGTTATTTTTTTTTTTTTTTTTTTGGTCGGTCGTGGAGTTTGAACTCTGGGCCTGGGCGCTGTCCCTCAGCTCTTCAGCTCAAGGCAAGTGCTCTACCACTTGAGCTACAGCGCCACTTCCTAGTAATGTTATTTTTACAATAGCATTTTTAGGCAAACCAAGGCCTCCCAATATTATTTGGCAGCATAGCTTGTTTTTCCAGATAGAAAAAAAAATTTTCCTGGAACTGGTGATCCATTGTTGTTACTGCTGTCCTCTGGGTTTAGCTAGAATAAATAATCTTCCATGTGGCAATACAGTGTAATGGACTCTGGAAGCAGTTAAGCATGAATGAAAAGTTTTATTTTATTGTTTATTCCCCATATGACTTTAATAATCGCAGAGCTGTTATGAGAACTAAATGAAATGTACAAATAAAGCACTTAGCAAGATGTCTAGCAGTTCTTAATTACTGTTATTTTGAGTGTTCTTTCAGTCACCTGAACACTGGGATCACTATTTATCACACTGTTTGTATCCACAAGTTTTCCTTCAGTTTCTCTCTAGGAATTTCAACTATTTCATATCTTTTGCACAAGACAGGTTTTAGGTTTTTTTGTTTTTGTTTTTGTTTTGTTGGTAGTGGGGCTTGAACTCTGGGCCTGAGCGCTGTCCCTCCGCTCTTCAGCTCAAGGCTAATGCTCTACCACTTGAGCTACAGTGCCCGGTTTTCTGGTGGTTTATTGGAGATAAGAGTTTCATGGACTTTCTTGCCTAGGCTGGCTTTGAACTGAGATCCTCAGATCTCAGCCTCCTGAGTAGCTAGGATTACAGGCATGAGCCACCGGTGCCCAGCCTAGACAGGTTTTAGATTGGAGTTTTCAGCCACACACTATCAAGTAGCAGATAGCAGTGAATTTATCAGTCAGTTAGCCTTAGACCTCCACATATGCTCACACACAGATACCAACTGACTTCAGGCAGGTAAGGAAATAGAAAACCACCTTTTCAGGAAGTCAGAACAGTCATATGTTGGGATTAACAAACTGCTCTGAATTTTCTAGAAGTACAAAGGTAGAAGATTTTGGAAAGGTGCAGGGGAAATGGTCAGTGAAAATCCCTCCAGGTGAGGGAAGATAGATTAAGGAGTGAATTTTTGCTACAGTAAACAACCCAGATTGGCTTTAAGCCACATAAGAATTTTGTCTCACTGAAAAAAAAAATTTTTAGTTTGCTTTGAATTTTTTTTTAAGAGATGAAGTCTTACCACATTGCTTAAGCTGTCTTTGAAATTTGTGAACTCAAGCAAACCTATTACCTCAGCCTCCAGAGAAACTAAGATCATTGATGGGTGCTCTCATGCTCCTATATATATATATTTTTTTTGTTGTTGTTAGTTGTGGGGCCTGAACTCTGGGCCTGGGCGCTGTCCCCCAGCTCTTCAGCTGTAGACCAGCAGTCTACCACCTGAGCCTCAGCCCCACTTCCGGCTTTTTCTGCTTCTGTGGTGCTAAGGAATCGAACCCAGGGCCTCATGCATGCAAGGCAAGCACGCTACCACTGAGCCACCTTCCCAGCCCCTCATGCTCCTATATTTTTCTTAAAATCCTGATGTTTAGCTGATTGCTCTGTGGCTCACTCTAACCCTAGTTACTTGGGAGGCTGAGATCTGAGGATCACAGTTTGAAGCCAGCTGCCGAGGAAAGTCCATGAGACTCACCTCAAATTAACAAACAAGAAGCCAGAAATGGAGCTTTGGCTGTGGCTCAAATGGTAGAGTGCTATCCTTGAGCAAAAAAGCTCAAAGACCCTGAGTTTAAACCCCAAGACCAGCATAAAAAAAAATATTGATATTTAGTTCTCTTATAAAGTTAGATCATATAGGGCTGGGCAGTTGGCTCAGTAATAGAGTGCTTGGCTCTCATGCATAAGGCTTTGAGTTCAATTCCTCAGCACCACATAAGCAGGAAAAAAAAAGACGGAAGTGGCACTGTGGCTCCAGTGGTAGAGTGCTAGCCTTGAGCTGAAGAGCTGAGGGACAGTGCCCAGGCCCAAAGTTCAAGCCCCATGACTGACAAAAAAAAAAAGAGTTAGATCAGAATAGCATTAGTCCTCAGTTTCTGTGTGCTGCCACAGAGAAACTAAGGCCTAGTGCTATTATGTTCAAACCTGTCAACTTGAGATGTAGTGTCCTTCTTTTTTTTTTGACAATCCGAGGGCCTGAACTCTGGGCCTGAGCACTGTCCCTGAGCTTCTTTTGCTCAAGGCTAGCACTCTAGCACTTGAGCCATAACACCACTTCCAGCCTTTTCTGTTTATATGGTACTGAGAAATGGAACTCAGGCCTTCATGCATGGTAGGCAAGCACTCTACCACTAACCCACATTCCTAGCCCTGTAGTGTTCTTAATCCCCAAAGAATATGAGATCAATTTATCATTTGTTTTCTTCTTTCCACAGGCAGGCCCAATGCCCAAGCACATTGCATTCATAATGGATGGAAACCGTCGCTATGCCAAGAAATGCCAGGTGGAAAGGCAAGAAGGCCACTCACAGGGCTTCAACAAGCTGGCTGAGGTGGGTGTGGGTAGCAGAACCCACTATGAATAGCCTCTGAGAATTTGATTAACACTAGAACATGAGCCTCTGAGCATGCTGAAGTTTGAGAAGGCTTTGTTTTTAAAAATATTAGTGGTGTGCATGCACATATATTTGAAGTGGGATCTCTTTATATAGCCCAATCTGGCTTCAGACTTGTGGTCCTCTTGTCTCTGCCTCCCAAGTGCTGGGACTATAGGCTTGCAACACGTGCATATCAGATTCTCTATATTTTACTTGCTTGGTAATTGTAGGTCTCATATTAACATTAACAACAACAAAAAAAGTCATTATAGCCAGGCACCAGTGGCTCATGCCTGTTAACCTAGCTACATAGGAGGCTGAGACTGAAGGATCATGGTTCAAAGCCAGCCTGGGCAGGAAAGTCTATTGAGACTCTTATTTCCAATTAATCACCAGAAAACTGGAAGTGGTGCTGTGCACTAGCCTTGAGCAAAAAAACTCAGTGGCAGCACCCAGGTCCTGAGTTCAAGCCCTATGACCAACCAAAAGAAAAAAGAAAAGGGGCTGGGAAGGTGGCTCAGTGGTAAAGCGCTTGCCTTGCATGCTTGAGGCCCTGGGTTCGATTCCTCAGCACCCATAAGAAAAAAGAAAAAAGAAAAAAAGTCATCACAAGATGAAATTGTCTCCTCATATTACCTTAACAAATAATTTCTATTATGTTGTGCCTCATATAATCTTCATAGTATGTCCTACATGTCCTAACATTTATGAATCTATATCTCTTAAAATTTTTATTTTAATTTGACATTTTGGCAGATTATTTTTCTATATGTTATAGAAAATTTCATTATGAGAATCTCATATAACTTGTTCAGCTTGTTTCACTGTTATTAAACATTGCAAACAGGGTTGTTTTAGCTACATGTAGTAGTACACACCTGTAATCTCAGCACTGTAGGGGACTGAGGTAAGAGGATTTGAGTTCAAGGCTTGCTTCTGCTGTATAATGAGATCCTATATCAAGAAAAAAGTTTAGGCCAGGAGCCAGTGACTCACACCTGTAGTCCTAGATACTCAGGAGGCTGAACTCTGAGGATCACAGTTAAAAGCCAGCCCCGGCAGGAAATTCCATGAGACTCTTATTCCCATTAAACGACCAGAAAACTGAAAGTAGTGCTGGGTAATGGTGGCTCAGGCCTGCAATCCTAGCTACTCAGGAGGCTGAGATCTGAGGATCACGGTTCAAAGCTAGCCTGGGCAAGAAAGTCCATGAGACTCTTATCTCTGATAAACCACCAGAAAACCAGAAGTGGTGCTGTGGCTCAAGTGGTAGAGCGCTAGCCTTAAGCTGAAGAGCTGAGGGACAGCGCCCAGGTCCAGAGTTCAAGCCCCAGGACCAACAAAAGAAAAAACAAAAACAAGTGGTGCTGTGGCTCAAGTAGTAGAGCGATAGATTTTAGCTGAAGAGTTCAGGGATAGCACCCATACTGAGTTCAAGCCCCACAAATGACACACACACACACACACACACACACACACACACACACTCTCTCTCTCTCTCTCTCTCTCTCTCTCTCTCTCTCTCTCTCTCTTTAGGATAAAGTCTCAAAAGTATCCTTTCTAAAACAAAGGTAGGGTAACTAAATATCTGGCTTTGCTGCCCAGTTTCACAGGATTCAGGGCTTTTTATTTGTTTGTTTATTTGTTTGTTCAAGACTGGGACTTGAACTAGGAACCTGACACCTTTACTCATTGGCTGACACTCTTCCAACTGAGCCATACCTCCAACCCCATATTCAGGCTTTTCAATGCTAAAACTGCAAAATTGCCAGGCTACCAAGCATAGCATTCTATGCAGAGATCATGAAAATTTTGTTTTTTTGTGGTTTTTTTTTTTCCAGTCCTGAGCTTCTTTTGCTCAAGGCTAGCACTCTACCACCTGAATCATAGCACCACTTCTAACTTGTTTGTTTATGTGGTACTGAGGACTTGAACCCAGGGCTTCACACATGCTTGGCAATCACTCTACCACTAAGCCACATTTCCAGCCCATTTTATGATTTAATGAGTATTGCAAATTGGGAAGTTGTAGCAAAACTAAAATGTTAACAATCTCTGTGAAACTTTATTTTGGTGGGTAGGGTTCTGAGAATTGAGCCTGGGTCTTTATACATGCTAAGCACTTGCTTTACTTCCTAGTCCATTGTGAACCTAACTTTTAAGAAAATGGAAATACAGTTTATAGCACACAGATGCTATCTTTCTTTTCTTTTTTTGTTTTCTGAGACTGGGACTCAAACTTCGCACTTGATGTTTTTTTGTTTGTTTGGTTGGTTTTTTGTTGGTTGTGGGGCTTGAACTCTGGGCCTGAGCACTGTCCCTCAGCTCTTCAGCTCAAGGCTAGTGCTTTACTACAGCGCAACTTCCAGTTTTCTGGTGGTTTATTGGAGATAAGCGTTTCATGGGCTTTCCTGCCCTGGCTGGCTTTGAACCTCGATCCTCAGCTCTCAGCCTCCTAAGTAGCTAGGATTACAGGCGTGAGCCACTGGTGCCCAGCTTAGCACTGTCATTCTTAGCTCCAATTAGCTCAGTCTCAGACTTTCCTGCCTCTTCTGGCTCCAAATCATGATCCTTAGATTTCAGCCTCTTGAGTAGCTAGGATTACCAGAGTAAGCCTGTGGCACCCAGCTCAGGTTTCTATTTTATTTTATTTTATTTATTTATTTATTTTCTTTTTTTTGGTCTGGTCGTGGGGCCTGAACTCTGGGTCTGGGCGCTGTCCCTCAGCTCTTCAGCTCAAGGCTATTGCTCTACCACTTGAGCCACAGCGCTACTTCCAGCTTTTTTCTTTTTGCTTATGTGGTGCTGAGGAATCAAATCCAGGGCCTCAGGCATGCAAGGCAAGCGCTCTACCACTGAGCCACCTTCCCAGCCCCTAGCTCAGTTTTTTAAATGGTGGTATTTCTGCTTATTTGGTTTTTTATTCCGATGGAGAGTTATATCAGGTAAATTACAATGGCATCAGTTTAGTGGTCTTTATTTATTTATTTATTTTTTTGTCGGTCGTGGGGCTTGAACTCTGGGCCTGGGCGCTGTCCCTCAGCTCTTCAGCTCAAGGCGAGCGCTCTACCACTTGAGCTACAGCGCCACTTCCGGTTTTCTGGTGGTTTATTGGAGATAGGAGTCTCACAGTCTCTCCTGCCTGGGCTGGCTTTGAACCTCTATCCTCAAATCTCAGCCTCCTGAGTAGCTAGGATTACAGGCTGAGCCACCAGCGCCCCGCTAGTGGTCTTTATTAAGATCACATCTTTTAGGGCCATTTTTGGTGAATCTTTTTTAAATTTTTAAAAAATTTTTAAATTGATACTATAAAGGTGATATACAGAGTGATTAGAGTTGCTTAAGTCAGGTAATAATTTTTATTTATTTATTTAGGTCAGTCATGGAGCCTCAGTACTGTCTCCGAGCTCTTTCCCTCAAGGCTAGTGCTCTACCACTTTGAGTTACAGTTCCACTTCCAGTTTTCAGGTGGTTAATTGGAGGTAAGAGTCTCTTGGATTTTCCTGCAAGGGCTGGCTTTGAACAGTAATCCTCAGATCTCAGCCTCCTGAACAGCTAGGATTATAGGCATGAGCCACCTGCACTCAACTACTCTTTTTTTTGTTTTGTTTTTTTGGGGCCGGTCATGGGGGCCTGAACTCTGGGCCTGGGCACTATCCCTCAGCTCTTCAGCTCAAGGCTAGCGCTCTACCACTCGAGCCACAGCACCACTTCCGGCTTTTTTTCTTTTTGCTTATGTGGTGCTGAGGAATTGAACCCAGGGCCTCATGCATGCAAGGCAAGCGCTCTACCACTGAGCCACCTTCCCAGCCCTCAACTACTCTTATTTCTTGATCCACAGCTTTTGGATGGCTAATTAGAAGTAAGTCTCACAGACAGCTGGGTGCTGGTAGCTCATGCCCATAATCCTAGCTACTCAGGATGCTGAGATCTGAGGATCAAAGTTCAAAGCCAACCCAGGCCGGAAAGTTTATGAGACTCATTTCCAGTTAACCACCAGAAAAGTAGTAGTAGAGCTGTGGCTTAAAAGTGGTGAGCGGGAAAAAAAAACAAAAAAAAAACAAAAAAAAACGGGAGCTGGGAAGGTGGCTAAGTGGTAGAGCACTTGCCTTGCATGCATGAGGCCCTGGATTCCATTCCTCAGCACCACATAAGAAAAAAAAAAAAAAAAAAAAAGTGGTGAGCGGGCTGGGAAGTTGGCTTAGTGGTAGAGCACTTGCCTCCCATGTATGAGGCCCTGGGTTCGATTCCTCAGTACCACATAAGGAAAAAAAGGCGGAAGTGGTGCTGTGGCTCAAGTGGTAGAGCGCTAGCTTTGAGCTGAAGAGCTGAGGGACAGTGCACAGGCACCGAGTTCAGGCCCCACAACCAAAATAAAAAAAAAGTGGGCCGGGCACTGGTGGCTCATGCCTGTAATCCCAGCTACTCAGGAGGCTGAGAGCTGAGGATCTCGGTTCAAAGCCAGCACAGGCAGGAAAGTCTGTGAGACTCCAATAAACACTCAGAAAACTGGAAGTGGCGCTGTAGCTCAAGTGGTAGAGCGCTTGCCTTGAGCTGAAGAGCTGAGGGACAGTGCTCAGGCCCAGAGATCAAGCCCCACGACCAACAACAACAACAAAAAAAAAGTGGTGGAGGGGCTAGGAAATTGGCTTCTTGGTAGAGTACTTGCCTCACAAGCATGAGGTCCTGGATTCGATTTCTGAGCACCACATAAGCAGAAAAAAAAGCTGGAAGTGGCACTGTGGCTGAAGTGAAGTGGTAGGGCGCTAGCCTTGAGCTGAAGAGCAGAGAGACATTTCTCAGGCCCAGACTTCAGGCCCCACAACCGACAAAAAAAAAAAAATAGTGGAATACTAGCCTTAAGTGAAAGAACTCAGAGATAGTGCCAGGCCCTGAATTCAAGCCCCACAACAACACCTCCACACACACACACCCCTCAAAAAAAAAAAAAAGTCTCACAGACAGAAAGATAAAAGTCTCTCTCCCACTCTGGTCAATGCAGAAGCCTCTCTTACTTTCTTCCCAATCTATGTATATTCCAGCTGTTTGTTTTTTCCTTTCTTAGACTTTACGCTGGTGTTTAAATTTGGGCATCCTAGAGGTGACAGTCTATGCATTCAGCATTGAAAACTTCAAACGTTCCAAGAATGAGGTTGATGGCCTACTGGATCTGGCTCGGCAGAAGTTCACCAGCTTGATGGAAGAACAGTAAGATTTTATCTGAGGGGAGGATGTATGGTCACCCCTCCAGCCTTTCCTCAGCCCTCACAGAGACTCTTAATTCCCCTTAATTTTAGATCTCCCTGGTGGCACACATCAAAAACATGCAATCTAATTTTGCTTTTTTTTTTTTTTTTAAGATGATACTTATTTGAGGATATTGGGATATTCCACAGACCTTAACAAGTATAGGCAGTCTCATGCAAAACAAATCAGGATTTAGAATCCGTTTGGCAGTCTCTTTATAATTTACTACTTCTCCATACAAAACTGCTTTCTCAGCTTTGAAATGAGCTAACTCCCTTAAATTGTGGCCCGATGAGTGAAAGTAAACACAAAGAGTACTTTTCTCATGTGGCAAGTTTCCTACAAAATACTATACTTGCCCTGCACAGTGTCTTTGATTTGGCATGATGCATGATGCATAATGCATGAGACCTCAGTGGCGCTGGGGCTCAAGTGGTAGAGCGCTAGCCTTGAGCTGAAGAGCTGAGGGACAGCGCCCAGGCCCAGAGTTCAGGCCCCACGACTGGACCCAAAAAGAAAGAAAGAAAGAAAGAAAATAATCCTGGCAGGACCTCAGAGTTCCAGGAGTACGCATTGGAAAAAAATCCCCCATAGAGGGTGACGTGTGATATGTGTTCATTTCTTTCTTTTTTTCTTTTTTCTATTTTATGTCATGGTCTTCTGTATGGGATTGAGTTCAAGAAGAATTCTTAGACCAAAAGAAAGTCTGAAAACACTGACCTAGTTTAATTTCACTGGTTGGGAAATTACACTCTAGTAAAGAGAAGAGAAGGCCTTGCCTGTGGCCACATTGAGCTGGTAGTAGAGCGGGGTTGGTGCCAGTGCCCAGGCATCTCCAGGGATTTCACAGTTTGTTCTCTACAGAGCTCAGTGGAGTCCTGCATCTGCTTCTGAGAACAAGCCTCTCACTACCTACTCTTGTCCATAGTCATAGTTTGGCAGGGACAGTTGTCACCCCCAGCTTACAGATATGGGGCATGAAGGGGTGGGTAGAGGATGAACTCCGAGGAGCAGTCCCTTCTTTTTTTTTCTTTCTTTCAGTACTGGGGTTTGAATTCAGGGTCTTACGCTTCCTAGGCAGGTTCTCTATTGCTGATCCACACCTCTAGCCATCTTTTCCACTGCTTATTTTTCAGATAGGTGTTGCCTTCTCTCCTGGCACATAGCTAAGCTATGATCCATCTATTTTAGGCTCCCCATCAAGGCTGGAATGAAAAGTATGTGTGACTGTGACTAACTCTTGTTTGAGAAAGAGGTCTCACAAACTTTTCTGCCTGGTTGGTTTCAAAGGGCAATCCTCCCCAAATTTCTTCCAAGTTGCCAGGATTACAGGCATAAACCCTTGGTATCCAGCTGAAGAAGTTGTCTTCATGCAGGATCACCTAGTAAGTGGAGGTTCTAGGACTTAGAGCTATTATTCTTATTCAAATTTTGTCTTTTTGTTTGGATAGGGCCTAGATGGTATCTTTGAGCTTTTCTGCTCAAGGCTAGGACTCTACCATTTTGAGCCACAGCTCCACTTCCAGTATTCTGGTGGTGAATTGAAGATGAGTCTCAAAATCTTTTTTCCTATTTGGCCTGGCTTTGAACCATGATCCTTGATCTCAGCCTCTTGAGTAGCTAGGATTACAGGCTTGAGCCACCAGTGCCAGCTTGATTTTTTTTTAACTACTTTCTTTTCTTTTCTTTTCTTTTTTTTGTCTTTTCTTTTTTGGTACTAGGGACTCAAACCCAGGACATTGTACTTACTAGGCAAACACTTTGCCACTGAGCTACATCCCATCCCTGTTGTCTTGATTTGACTATACATTTGTCCTCAGTAATGCCAACAAATTTTCAAAATTAAGTGATTAGAGTTTGCTTCACAAACTATGAACTAATATATTAAGTTAAAGGTTGAGTGGAGTTGACAGGCTCTAGATATAGCCATGAGCCTCTGGCTCAACAGTCTTCAGAACAACCTGTGGGAGACTCACACCTCACAGTATTAATCTCCCACTTCCCAACCACAAAGCACTTAGTTTCTGCATAGCATTCCCAAGAGAGAGAAGCTGGTTAGTTTACAGTGAATTCACTCACTGTATACAGTTACTGTGCAGAGGTGCTATTAGGATTAAGGGGACAAGCTCTGAACCCAGATTGTCCGGGTTCAAGTTCAGGATGTCCATTCACTTGCTGTCTGAACAAATTAACCTCTCCCTGTGCCTCACATTCCTTATTTGTATATGGGCACTAATTTTGGTGCGCGCTTCAAAGATGGTGTAATGATGGAATGTATTGGTAGACTAGCAAATATATAATTAACGTTAGCCAACACTGTTACCTTCCTTTTACCAGAGTGTAACTAAAATAGCCAGTTATATAGATCCTACTCTAAAACAATTAACTCAGTTGTCAAAATGAGACAGACGTATCACAAAGTAAAATGCAGCTTGCCAACAAGGACACCTGAGGAGATGCAATTAAGTGCTTAAGAGTTTGGCTTCTCCGTGCAGCCAGACATGAAATCAGTCCAGACATAGTGCCTGATAACTGTGTCCCACATAGTCTCTCTCTGACTGTCCTGTCTGAGCTTCAGTGCTCTAGTGAACTTCTCGCAGAAGCTGAAAGTAACTTCCTACCTTAGCAGTAGGTAGTCTGTCTCAATCTGCCTCGTTTTTCCGAATCAGAGAGAAGCTGGAGAAGCATGGGGTATGTATCCGGGTCCTGGGAGATCTGCATTTGTTGCCTTTAGACCTCCAGGAGCAGATTGCACAAGCTGTACAGGCCACAAAGAACTACAACAAGTAAGTTTTCAGATTTCCCCTCAAGAACCTGTCTCAATCTTTGGCTCTTTTCTGGTTTTAAAGAGATATCTGGGGCATTTCTTGGTGTGTATTCCATATGTGGGGTATAGAGGGAGTCGTTGTGGATGTTTAGAGACAAAAACTTCTTCCTTCTCTCTGAAATGCTGCTGTAATACCATGTCATATGTGATTATACTCACATGTAGACATATTTTTCATCTTACTCCAAATGTGTGTGTGTGTGTGTGTGTGTGTGTGTGTGTGTGTGTTTGATGATGGTAGTTGCATTTTTTTTTCTAACTTGACAAGTTGGGGTGGGAATGCAGCAGTCCTTTCTAAAGGCAGATGCTTCAAGAAATATTTTTTTTTTTGGGGGGGCGGGTTCGGTCGTGGGGCTTGAACTCTGGGCCTGGGCGCTGTTCCTCAGCTCTTTAGCTCAAGGCTAGCACTCTACCACTTGAGCCACAATGCCACTTCCGGCTTTTTTTTTTTTTTTTTTTTTGCTTATGTGGTGCTGAGGAATCGAACTTAGGGCCTCTGGCATGCAAGGCAAGTGCTCTACCACTGAGCCACCTTCCCAACCCTCAAGAAATCATTTTAATATCTCTTCTTTTTTTTTTTTTTTGAGGGATGGGCTGGTACTATAGCTTGAACTCAGGGCCAAACTCAGAACTTTCACCAGACCTGGGGCTTGGGGCCTGGGCACTGTCCCTGAGCATCTTTTGCTCAAGGCTAGCACTCTGCCACTTGAGCCATAATACCACTTCTGGCTTTTTCTGCTTATGTAGTACTGAAGAATTGAACCCAGGGCTTCATGCATGCTAGGCAAGCACTCTATCATTAAGTCACATTCTCAACCCTACTGGCTGTCCATTATGAAGGTAGTAAAGGACATTTAGTTTTTGTCTTAAAAAACAAACAGCATAAGCCCCAGGTGCCATTGGCTGATGCCTGTAATCCTAATTAATCAAGAAGCTGAGATCTGAGGATTACAGTTCATAGTCAGCCCCGGCAGAAAAGCCTGTGAGAATCTTATCTACAATTAATTACCAAAAAGCTGAAAGCAGAGCTGTGGCTCAAGTGGTAGAGCACCAGCTTTGAGTGAAAAAGCATAGGGACTGCACCCAGGCCCTGAATTCTGACCCCAGAACTGGCAGCAGAACAAACAAACCAAAAACAACCCTGATAGCTTGTTTATTCTGAGAAATCACACATACACAAAAAGTATCACAATCTCACCTTTCAGAACTAATCAGTTAACACTGGACTGGGGGTCGATGTGGGAGGCATGGGGTTGTCCTTGAAGGGAAGGAGTGCTCTAATCTTGCTAAATCAGCTTATTCTCTTTCCTCAGGTGTTTCCTGAACGTCTGCTTTGCATACACATCCCGTCATGAGATCACCAATGCTGTGAGAGAGATGGCCTGGGGAGTAGAGCAAGGGCTGCTGGATCCCAGGTATGCTCGGTTGTTTCTCATGGCAACTACTAGGGAAACAGATGTGCACCAAATATGAATACTTCTTCTGTACCAGGTCCTGAGCCAGAGGCTAAATTGGCACACATGGCAAGATCTAAGAGAGACTACAAGCATAGAGCTCAGATTCAGTTTATTATAGCTGCTTCAGGTTTTCTCTGAGTTTTATCATACACCAAGAAACTCCTAAGAACAGCAGAGCATGAGTCAAGGCCACCCCATCAATGAGAAATTACACCCGCCTTATCTTTTGCAAGAATGATTTTTCAGGAATATACCCTGTGGAGTCTTTTTAATTTTTTTTTTGGTCAGTCCTGGGGCCTGAAATTCTGGGCCTGGGTGCTGTCCCTCAGCTCTTCAGCTCAAGGTTAGTACTCTTCCACTTGAGCCATAGTGCCACTTCCGGGTTTTTCTGCTTATGTTGGTGCTGAGGAATCGAACCCAAGGTCTCATGCATGCAAGGCAATCACTCTACCACTGAGCTTCCTTCTCAGCCCCTCTGTGGAGACTTTTAGGTTTCTCACATTATACTTTCACACAAAATTTTCCAAATAGGGCACTGGTGGCTCACATCTGTAATACTAGTTACTCAGGCTGAGATCTGAGGATTGAAGTTCAAAGCCAGCTTGAGCAAGAAAGTCCATGAATGAGACTCATTTTGGGTTTTTTTGTTTTTGGTTTTGTTTTTTTTTGTTTTTTTTTTTTTGGCCATTTGTGGGACTTGAACTAAGGGCCTAGGTCCTGTCCTTGAATTTTTTTAAATTAATTTATTATTTTTTAAAATTTAATTTTTTATAATCATGGGGCTTAAACTCTGTGCCTAGGTGCTGTCCCTGAGTTCTTCAGCTCAAGTTGAGCATTCTACCACTTGAGCCACAGCACCACGTCAGTTTTCTGGTGATTACTTGGAGATAAGTTTCATGGACATTCCTGCCCAGGCTGGCTTTGAATTGAGATCCTCAGATCTCAGCCTCCTGAGTAGTTAGCATTACAGACATGAGCCACCAGTGCCCAGCTATCCCTGAATTTTTGCTCAAGGCTAGTATTCTACCACTCTGAGCCACAGCTCCGCTTCCATTTTTTGGGTGGTTAATTGGAAATAAAGAGTTTGATAGCGGAAGTGGCACTGTGGCTCAAGTGGTTAGAGTGCTAGCCTTGAGCTGAAGAGCTGAGGGATAGCACCCAGGCCCAGAATTCAAGCCTCATGACTGATCAAAAAAAAAAAGAGTTTGATAGACTCCTGCCTGGGATGGTTTTGAACCACCATCCTTAGATCCCAGGTTCCTAAGTAGCTAGGATTACAGGCGTGAGCCACCAGTGCCCAGCTAGTCCATGAGACTCTTAACCCTAATTAACTACTCAATAAAAAGCTGGAACTGATGCTGCGGCTCAAGTGGTAGAATACTAGCTAGCCTTGAGCAAAAGAAGCTCAGAGACAGCATCAAGACCCTGACCAGCACTCATAAAACACAACTCCGGGATGGGAAGTTGGCTCAGTGGTAGAGTGCTTGCCTTGCATGCATGAGGCCCTGGGTTCGATTCCTCAGTACCACATAAGCAGAAAAAGCTGAAAGTGGTGCTGCGGCTCAAGTGGTAGAGTGCTAGCCTTAGAGCTGAAGAGCTGAGGGACAGCACCCAGGCCCCGAGTTCAGGCCCCATAAATGGCAAAAAAACAAATAAAAAAACACACCTCCAAAAAAGAAAACTGTGAATCATTAGTAACAGTAATGTCCTACTTTTTAGAGTTGGTAAGGACTTTCAAAGCCATTTGTCTATTTGGTCTTTTTCATGTTATTAGTGTAACCTTTGGTTATAATATTAGTATAATAATAAAAATAGTAAAGCGGAGTAACAAAATACAGTTCAGGCAATGTGTTCTATGTTTTATAAGTTATCATCTTATGTATGAAACATTCACGTTATTTTGTACAGTTTACAGATGAGAAAACTGAGAACACTGAAATAACTCACCTAAAGTCAGTCACTCAGCTAGTCAGTACTCAAATCGTAAGCTGTCTGATGCCAGAATTTTTGCCCTCTATCTCTATTATATGAGATCTTGGGACTGATGAATTTTTCTGATTCCTTCCTCAGGTATAATTTGATTGACTGGAAATTAAATTAAGAATTAAGCTTAAGCTGGGCGCCGGTGGCTCACACCTATAATCCTAGCTACTCAGGAGGCTGAGATCTGAGGATTGCGGTTCAAAGTCAGCCCGGACAAGAAAGTCCAAAGTCCGTGAAACTCTTATCTCCAATAAACTACCAGAAAACCGGAAGTGGTGCTATAGCTCAAGTGGGAGAGCGCTAGCTTTGAGCTGAGGAGCTGAGGGACAGCGCCCAGGCCCAGAGTTCAAGCTCCATGACCGAAAAACAAAAAGAATTAAGCTTAACATCTATGGCTCACGCCTATGATCCCAACTACTCAAGAAGTTCAGATCTGAGGATGGTGGTTCAAGCCAGACTGAACCACAAAGTACTGAGACACTTTTTTTTTGGGGGGGGGGGTTCCGGTCGTGGGACCTGAACTCTGGGCCTGGGTGCTGTCCCTCAGCTCTTCAGCTCAAGGCTAGCGCTCTACCACTTGAGCCAGAGCGCCACTTCCGGCTTTTTTCTTTTTGCATATGTAGTGCTGAGGAATCGAACCCAGGGCCTCATGCATGCAAGGCAAGCGCTCTATCACTGAGCCACCTTCCCAGCCCAGTACTGAGACTCTTATCTCCAGTTAACCATCAAAAATCCAGGAGTAGAGGTATGGCTCAAATGGCAGAGTGCTAGCCTTGAGTATAAAAGCTCAGGCTCAGCACCCAGGTCAAGTTCAAATCTAAGTATTAACACACAAAAAAAGTATGTCTGAGGATGTTCAAGTTCGAGAGAGCTTCCTAGCAAACCCAGACCCTGAGTTCCAGCTTTAGTACCCCTGGGGCTAGAGAGAAGGGGGAATTATGGTTAGGATTATATTGCAGTCCTAGAGCATGGGAAAACCCATGGTTCAGTCTTTAGTACCACAAGGTAAATTGTTTCATTAGAATAGGAAAGATAAGAAGGAAAGAACCTACCTTATTTCTTTTGGATTTTGCTTTTTGAGATAGGCCAGTCTTGAGCTTACTACATAGTGAGTCCAGCCTTACTATGTATGTGATCTTCCTGCTTGTCTACAATTCACACTCTGATCTTGCTTTCCCTTCAAACTATATTACAGTACTCAGTGACCTTACCTTTCTTTCTGCCTAGTGCTCTGCATGTTTTTTCCTGCCCAAGTTCTCTGCCTGCCTAACTTGCCTCTCTGGGATTCTCATGCCAGTGGAGTGTGGGCTGCTAGGATCAACAGGGTTAGGAGGCTAATGTCTCAACCCACTAAGCTCCTGCCACTTGCTTTGGAGCTCTGGCTGGGCTCATCTGGGCCTATTATTCAAATTTAGGCAAATTCTCATTTGTATTAGAAAGTCAATGAGTTTTTGCAATTAGGCTCTACCTAATAGTTTGATTTCTATATTCTTATTCCTGCCATCCAGCTCCTGGTATGTATTTAGTAGATTATTTTGTGATTCTCAAAGTACAGAAGAAATAAGGTTGAGCCTGAAGAATAGTTAATAAACTCTCTTTCAGTGAATTACTTTGAACAGGTCATGACCTCCTATAGGGCTCTGTTTTCTTTATAAAATAAGAGGAACAAAAGTAAATGCTAACATTTAGCATTTACTAACATTTAGGCACTTACTAAGTGCTCTGGATACTTTTTTTTTTCTTTTTATGATTCCTGTAGCCCCAAGCTGGCCTCTACTTTTCAATCCTCTGGACTTAGTCTGCTAAGTACTGAGTATAGATGTGCCCTGGCATGCTCAGATCTCTGCATGCATTTAGTCCTAGTCCCTATAAGGCTAATACTGGGTTGTTGGGGGTTTTTTTGGGGGGGGCGCTTGTTGTTGCTGGTTTTTTGAGGGGTTTCGATTTTGTTTTTTTGGGGGTCCAGTCGTGGGGCCTGAACTGTGGGCTTGAGCACTGTCCCTTAGCTCTTCAGCTCAAGGCTAGCACTCTACCACTTGAGCCACAGTGCCACTTCCAGCTTTCTTTTTGCTTATGTGGTGCTGGGGAATCGAACCCAGGGCCTCATGCATGCAAGGCAAGCGCTCTACCATTGAGCCACCTTCCCAGGCCCTGGTTTTTTTTTTCCTGATACTGGGGTTGAACTCAGACCTTGTACTTGCTAGGTTAGCACTCTGAGTTCTAGCCCTGTTTTTCTTTTTTCTTTTTTTTGTCAGTCATGGGGCTTGAATTCTGGGCCTGGGTGCTGTCCCTCAGCTCTTCAGCTCAAGGCTAGCACTCTACCACTTGAGCCACAGCGCCACTTCTGGTTTTCTGGTGGTTTATTGGAGATAAGAGTCTCATGAACTTTCCTGCCCAGGCTGGCTTTGAACCGCAATCCTCAGATCTCAGCCTCCTGAGTAGCTAGGATTATAGGCGTGAGCCACTGGTGCCCAGCTTTTTTAACTGTTTAATTGTTATTATAAAGATGATTTACAGAATTACATAAATCAGGTAAAGAGTACATTTATTTCTGGACAATGTTACCTCTTCCCTTGCTCTCCCAGTTTTTCCCTCCCAGGTCCACCCATAAGTTGTATAGTTCATTTTCAACATACTTTCCAGAGAGTACCATTGCTGCATTTGTTCATCCTTTGTCCCTCCATTTCTGTGCCTTCCCTTATACTCCCAAAGACATAAAAATAAACAAACAGAACAAAAAGGAAGGAAAACTAAAACGGCAAAAAAAGAAAAAAAATCTCTTGTTAATTTCCTAGAGTTCATTTCATCCACCACTCTTAATAGAATAATGTGTGAAGGAAGTGGCGCTGTGGTCGAGCGCTTGCCTTGAGCTGAAGAGTGCAGGGATAGTGCCCAAGCCCAGAGTTCAGGCTCCACAACCGACAAAAAAAAAAAAGCAAGACATGCCAGGCGCCAGTGGCTCACGCCTATAATCCTAGATACTCAGTAGGCTGAGACCTGAAGATCTCAGTTCAAAGCCAGTGCAAGCAGGAAAGGTTGTAAGATTGTTATCTCCAATAAACCACTAGAAAACTGGAAGCGGTGCTAAGGCTCAAGGGGTAGAGCACTCACCTTGAGCTGAAGAGCTAAGGGACAGCGCCCAAGTCCAGAGTTCAAGCCCCACAACTGACCAGAAAAAAAAAAAAAAGCAAGATGTTTCTCTGAGCCTCAGTTTTCTTATCTAAAAAATGAGAATAGATATATCTTATATAAATATGAAGATTTAAAATCATTTGTGGGGCATGGGATATAGATCAATGGTAAAGCACTTGCTTAGTGTGCATGAAGCCCTGGGTTCAATCACCAACACCACACACAAAAAGAGAGGTGTGGGGGACAAGAGTGGGAGGAGGAATGAGAAGAGGGTAGGAGTTAGGAAAGCAGATCATTTATGAATTTAGCAAATTCTTATTAAGGGCCTTTTCTATAGAAGGTAGTACTGCTGAGTATATTTAATGGTAGTCCCTGAAGAAATCGGAAACCTTATGCATGCTCACCAAGACATACTTCAAAAAGATGTGTGCTTTTTATTTTTTGTCTCCCCTTCACCTTAGTGATGTCTCTGAGTCTCTGCTTGATAAATGTCTCTACACCAACCACTCTCCTCACCCTGACATCTTGATACGGACTTCTGGAGAGGTTCGACTGAGTGACTTCTTGCTCTGGCAGGTAGGTGCTTTCCAGGTACTGTTGGGATTGTGTTGAGATGAATACTGGGCACTGGGCAGGACAGCACTCATAGACCAGATGAGACAGTTCCTGCCTATTCCTAGCCACAGTAGGGTCAGAAAACATGGAAGTAAGGAGGCTGAAATGTGGAGAATCATTTCCAGGCTGTGCCTGGTGACATTTGCTTTTCCTTCTGCATCTGACCCTGGCTTTGCAAACTTCTGTGATTCCTGCTTTCCAAAGTGCAAGGCATCCAAAACCAAGCTTTCCAATAATAGTGAAAACTTGTGCCATTTTTCAACTTGTGCCTTGATGTCTTAGTAACATGTCAGCCTCTATGTAAGCATGGTCCATGAAGGATCTAAACTACATGCAAACTCTTAGGGGTTTGCCGTGACACTTTTCTCAGTTCTTCCATCTAGGCAGTCCCTACAAAGTAATCATATCTAATTTTAAGTTGTTGTTGCTTAACTCTTTCCTCTCCTGAATACTTGGCCCCTGAATAGCATATAGCTGGGGGAAGGTTTTTCTCAAAGATAAATTGCATGGGAACTCAGCTTAGAAGCAGCTCAGTTGATAAACTCCAGAAATTTTAATGGACCATAATCTTAAAAATGAATTAAACTCTGTACAGTATTCTCACAATAAAAAAATGAATTAAAATTATTAGTTACTGAAGATGCTTTTGGTCTTTGATTATACTAAAGGAAGCATGATATGTTTCTCATGGTTCTATGACCTACTATTCTGCTGCTCAAGTTTACTTTGGGCACTGAAATTTAAGGGACTAGTGCTAGGCTGGAAATATAACAGTGTTAAGAGCATCTGCTTAGGCTGGAAATGTGGCTTAGTGGTAGAGCGCTTGCCTAGCATGCACGAAGCCCTGGTTCAATTCCTCAACACAAAAAAAGCCAGAAATTACACTGTGGCTCAAGTGGTAGAATGCTAGCTTTGAGTAAAAGAAGCTCAGGGACAAAAATAAGTGTCTGCTTAGCATGCACAAGACCTTAAACAGACAAATGAACAAATAAACCACACTGATCAACTAGAGGATAGATAGCAAGGACCCTCATGTCTTAAAAGGACCAAGGAACAATGCTCTGGAAAAGATGAGTTTTTATTTCTGAGAGGAAAAAAAAAATTGAGTTCCTTATTTGTGCTTCAAATATGGCAGTAATAAAGTCAGGAATGATCCCTATTGTCTTGAAACTTAGTGTCTTGCCTGTGACAAATCATTTTAACTTTGGGAACAGATTACAGGCAACTTGAGCTAGTATTATTTTGGGGATGGGAAAGTGGCTCAGTGGTAGACTGCTTGCCTTGCATGCATGAGGCCCTGGGTTCGATTCCTCATAAGCACCACATAAGCAGAAAAAGCTAGAAGTGGCACTATGGCTCAAGTGGTAGAGCACTAGCCTTGAGCTGAAGAGCTGAGGGCCAGTGCTCAGGCCCAGAGTTCTAGCCCCACGACTGGCAAAAAAAAAAAAAAAAAGTATTATTTCGGGGATGGGAAGGTAGCTCAGTGGTAGAGTGCTTGCCTTGCATGCATGAGGCCCTGGGTTCGATTCCTCAGCACCACATAAGCAGAAAAAGCTGGAAGTGGCGCTTTGGCTCAAGTGGTAGGGCGGGTAGCCTTGAGCCGAAGAGCTGAGGGACAGTGCTCAGGCTCAGAGTTCAGGCCCCATGACCGACAAAAAAACAAAAACAAAACAGAGTTCAAGCCCCATAACCAACAACAACAAAAAAAAAGAATCATTGAAGCCTGAAGCCAGCTAGGGCAGAAAAGTCTATGAGACTCTTTTCTCCAATAAACTATTCAGAAAAAGCCAGAAGTGGTGCTGTGGCTCTGGTAGAGCACTAGCCTTGAGCACAAAGAGGCGCAGGGACAGTGCCCAGGTCCTTAGTTCAAGCCCTAGTACCAGCAAAAGAAAAAAAAAGTACAGCATGAGGTCCTGAATTCAATTTCTAGTACTATAAAATAGAAAAAAGACTACTGTACTGGAAAGATCTGATTGCTTATTTATTCCTTTAACAACAACAAAACAACAACAACAAAAAAAGAGTATCATTTCGAAGAAGTAAACTTGTTGAAAATAGTTACAACCTTGGTAGAATGAAGATGATATTGGCTTAGCATAACAAGTTAGCTGACAACTGAAATTTTCCCCTAGAAAGCATTGAATTCTTCACCCCTGAAGGAATCAAGCAGTAGCTATAAGAGTGTGTTGGCGCTAGGGGACAGCTCATTTGATTTTTACTCAAGTTTATCCTGTTCTGTGCTCTACATGATTTACATTCAATCTTCATAATGAAACTTTGAAAACCAGATACTCCTATTACCCAACTTTACACTTGAGGAAGGTTAAATGGTGCTAGAAGAGGCAAAATACAGAACTAGGCATTTGGGCTGTAGAGTTCACGCACTTAGCTGCATTGCCATTCTGCTGCTACTGAAAAGTAACAATGGCAGCTACCATTGGTTTACTGCAGACTTTTACCAGACAGTGTCTCAGATGACCTCCAAGAGCCAAGTGTCAATAACAGAGTCCAGATATTATTTCATAGTCTGAAAATTGGCTCTGGGAAAAATCCTAGTGGAAGTGATCTAGTCTAGTTTTGCTTTGCAACAGGCAGGTGATCTGGCTGCTTCAGACACCCCTACCCCTCAACCTCTCCCACTCCCCATGAAGGAGTCAGAGCTGGTGTCGGAAGCAACTGCAGCTCTGGATGCCTGGGCAACATCATTTCTGGGCTTCTTCCAGCTCAGCCTGCTCCTCCATGGGAGGACTGGCCAGCAAAGTGGCTCAGCAACATGTGACTAAATGTACTCTTCCTTCTCTTTCTGTCATAGACCTCCCACTCCTGCCTAGTGTTCCAACCCATTCTGTGGCCAGAATACACATTTTGGAATCTCTGTGAAGCTATCTTTCAGTTCCAGATGAACCATAACACACTTCAGGTATGGAGGGGGGGGGGGGGGGGGGTACTGGCCTGACTAGATACATTAGAAGAAAAGGTTAGCATTAATTGGCCACCTTGCTATATATATTAGACACTTCATGACAGGCATGGTGATGGTGATGACAATGATGTTGCTACCACTCAATGAGCATTTACTGTGAATGAGCATACACTGCAAATGTTTTACATGCAGTACTTTATTTAATGTTCCCAAGTACCAATTCAGGCAAATCCTAGTACCTCTTTTATGTAAATGAATAAATAGAAGAAAAAAATTTAGGGACTTATAACTAATGAGCGATAGGAGTAAGGGTCAAAGTCTTTTTTTTTTTTTCTTTTGGTATGTCATGGGGCTTTAACTCTGGGCCCTGGGCACTGTCCCTCTGCTCTTCAGCTCACTGCAGTGCTCTACCACTTGAGCCCCAGTACCACTTCCAGTTTTCTGGTGATTAATTGGAGATAAGAGTCTCATGGATGTTCCTGCCCAGGCTGGCTTTGAACTGTGTTTCTCAGATCTCAGCTTCCTGAGTAGCTAGGATTACAGGCGTGAGCCACAGGCACCCGGCAGGTTCAATGTCTTAAGAACCTGGGAAAATGTTTTTTTAGAAGGATTGTCCATTAGTCCCAGAAGATAATAGCCTACTAAAAGATTATAGCCTGGCCTGGTGCTACCCACCTGTAATCTCAGCTGCTTAGGAAACTGAGGCTGAAAGATTTCAAGTCAAGACCAGTGTAAATTTGATGGGGAAAAATAAAAGTAAGTGTAAGTATGCAAAAATCCAAGCTGCTTCTAGAAATGTTAAGAATATAATACTTGGGGCTGGGAAGGCGGCTCAGTGGTAGAGCACTTGCCTTGCATGCCTGAGGCCCTGGGTTCGATTCCTCAGCACCACATAAGCAAAAAGAAAAAAGCGAGAAGTGGCGCTGTGGCTCATGTGGTAGAGCGCTAGCCTTGAGCTGCTAAAGAGTTGAGGGACAGCGCCCAGGCCCAGAGTTTAGGCCCCACAACCAGACTCCCCCTCCCCCCCCAAAAAAAAGAATATAATAATACTGCATAAAACCACATTATTCAACAACTTTGAATTTTGACCACCATATTTTTTAAGTCCTTAGGAGCCAGTTACCCTCATCTGATTAGCATTCTTTATTCTTTTTAAATTTTTTATTGTTATTATAAAGGTGATCTACAGAGGGGTTACAATAATTTAAATCAGGTAAGGAGTACATTTCTTTTTGGGGAATGTCACCTTCCTCATTGTCTCACAGGTTTTCCCTCTGATTAGCACTCTTAACAATAATAGTGATATGTTTGAGGCTAGCTAACATACTGAGATTTCACACATACTTCTTTATTTAAGCCTTCTAACAACCCAGCAGGTTTGGTGTCCTCATTTTTCAGATATCAAAACAGGAGCAATGAGACCAAGTAACTGACCCACAGCCCCTGAACTAAGACCTTAAGTTTTAAAATTATACCTAGTGTTGCTTCTTTGTGTGTGTATGTGTGTGTGCATGTGTGTACATGTTCATGTGTGTGCTGGTACTGTGGCTTGAATTCAGGGCCTGGCTACTGCCCTTGGCTTTTTTTTTTTCCATACTGGCACTTTATCACTTGAGCTACAACTCTACTTTCAGATTTTTTCAATGGTTAATTGGTAGTAACTACCTCATGGCTTTAAACCATGATCCTTAGATCTCAGCCTTTTAAGTAGCTAGGATCACAGGCATGAGCCACCAGCACCACCCTGTGGTTTTTGTTTTTCAATTTTAATTTAATTTTTTTTCTAGTGATATTTTTAAAGTCTGGGAAAATAATGGCCAGGAAGAAATAACGAGTAAATCAGGGTTTCTCAATCTCCCTGGTTTAAGGGCCCATTGGGAGAATTTCATGAAAGTGATAGGCCATGTTCATATAACAGTCACAGATCTGTTTTCCTCAGAACTGCATTTGACACTCACTTATTTTTTTTTGTTTTTTTTTTTTGGGTCCGGTCGTGGGGCCTGAACTCTGGGCCTGGGCGCTGTCCCCCAGCTCTTCAGCTCAAGGCTAGCGCTCTACCACTTGAGCCACAGCGCCACTTCCGGCTTTTTTCTTTTTGCTTATGCGGTGCTGAGGAATCGATCCCAGGGCCTCAGGCATGCAAGGCAAGTGCTCTACCACTGAGCCACCTTCCCAGCCCCTTGTCATTCACTTATATAGAATACTTTCAGTAGGTACATGTTGTCCCTGAAATTGTTTTGTGAGTTCCAAGTCAGAACCCCTAGCATAAGTCAATCTTATCAATCATGTCAAAGGATTTGATTGTTAAGTCTCACAATATTAACATATTAGGGAGTACATTTAGAACAAATGAACAGAAAACAGTAACGCTTCAATTATCCACTGTCAATGAGGAATGAATACCAGATTTTTCCCACATAACCAAACTACTTTTTTTTTTTTTGGGTCGGTCCTGGGGCTTGAACTCTGGGTTTGGGTGCTGTCCCTGCACTCTTCAGCTCAAGGCGAGCGCTCTACCGCTTGAGCCACAGCGCCACCTGTGGTTTATTGGAGATAAGAGTCTCACCGACTTTCCTGCCCGGGCTGGCTTTGAACCGCTATCCTCAGTTCTCAACCTCCTGAGTACCTAGGATTACAGGCCTGAGCCACCAGCGCCTGGCTTCAAAACTATTTCTTAAGAACTAAGATGGATGGGCACTGGAGATTCACACCTATAATCCTAGCTCCTCAGGAGACTGAGATCTGAAGATTGTGGTTTGAAGTCAGCCAGGGCAGGAAGGTCTATGAGACTCTTATTTCCAATTAACCAGCTAAATGAAAGTGGTGCTATGGCTCAAAGTGGTAGAGCACTAGCCTTGAGCAAAAAACTCTGGGACAGTGCCCAGGACATAAGTTCAAACCACACAATGAACAATTAAAAAAAAAGAACTAAGCCCAAAAAAAAAAAAAAAAGAACTAAGACTGTTCCCCCCTCCCCCTTTTTGATTGGAAAACTTGAAGTGAGGCTTGTATGTGATTTATTGACCTTATATACCAGCATTTGTTAGTAATGATGATGATTAATCACTTTGTAATGATGATTATAATGACCTTGAAGAGTGGGACTGTTTATTCTAAAGCTAGATGGTTCTTCTTGGTTTTTGGGTTTTTTTGTTTTTTTTTTTTTGGTGTGTGTGTGTGTGTGTGTGTGTGTGTGTGTGTGTGTGTGTGTGTGTGTGTGTGTGTGTGTGTGTGTGTGTGTGTGTGTGTGTGTGTGTGTGTGTGTGTGTGTGTGTGTGTGTGTGTGTGTGTGTGTGTGTGTGTATCTTCCCTTTTTCTACAATGTCAGTGGCTAATTTTGACAGCATACCTCTGTTTCTTCCCTTCCTGTTTACTGTTTTAAATTAGCTGTTATAGGCAAAAAAAAAAAAACAACAAAAAAAAAACAGTTAATCAAGCATGTTAAAATCGTGTATTAAATGAGAGCAAATTAGCTCTGCGTGAAGCCTAAAGGAGCCTTTGCGTGTGGACATTCTTGTGTCTGGGCCTCTCACTTAACCTTTTATAGTAATTTTAGGTTTCCTAGATGCGTTGCACATGGTTGTCACAGGAGTTACTACAGGTTTCCTCCTTGCTGTAACTGTCCCTCTGAAATCCAGGGAGATGTTGGGCACAGGAGAGTTAGCAGTTAGCTGGTCAGACACGGTATGTGCCTTTGTGGAGTTTTTATATTCTTAGTGGAGGGGACAGACAAGTAAACAAATGGGTAATGTAATTCCTGAGTCTAATAAAACAAATATATGGAATGATGTGCTAGAAGGTAATGGAGGGAAGGAAAAGGATAGTGAGGTTAGACAGTTGAGGTCAAGATTAGAAATGAGGAGCTGGGAAGGTGGCTCAGTGGTAGAGCGCTTGCTTTGCATGCATGAGGTCCTGGGTTCAATTCCTCAGCACCACATAAGAAAAAAGAAAAAAGCCGGAAGTGGCGCTGTGGCTCAAGTGGAAGAGTGCTAGCCTTGAGCTGACGAGCTGAGGGACAGCGCCCAGGCCCAGAGTTCAGGCCCCACGACCGGACCCCCCCCAAAAAAAAAAATTAGAAATGAGCTGGGCGCTGGTGGCTCACGCCTGTAATCCTAGCTACTCTGGAGGCTGAGATCTCGGTGCAAAGCCATCCTGGGCAGGAAAGTCCATGATACTCTTATTTCCAATTAACACTCAGAAAATCGGAAGTGGCACAGTGGCTCAAGCCTTGTGCTGAAGAGCTGAGGGACAGCGTTCAGGCCCAGAGTTCAATCTCCATGACCGACCAAAAAAAAAATAGGAGAAATGAGGGCTGGGAATTTGGCTTAGTGGTAGAGTGTTGCTAGCATGCAAAAAGCCCTGGATTTGATTCCTCAGTACCATATAAACAGAAAAAGCCAGAAGTGACACTGTGGCTCAAGTGGCGGAATGCTAGCCTTGAGTAAAAAAAGCTCAGGGACAGTGCTTAGGCCCTGAATACAAGCCCCAGGACTAGCCCCCCCGCCAAAAAAAAAATAATAATAAAGTAGAAATGAGGCTGGAGAAGGTCAGGCTTCTGATATTGAAGGACTTAATCAGAGGAGTGACAGGATCTGATTGGTATTTGGTTAAAAAAAAAAAAAATCACTTAGGATTTATTCAGGGTAGGAGTCAGAGACAAGAAACCAAAACAAGAGACCAAACTCCTACCATAGAATGAGAGGGGATGTAGCTTAAGGTAAGGTGATAGCATTTGGGCAGAGGAGGACTGAAGGTAGAGATTTAAAATAAATCTTGCTGGGGCCTGGGAAGGCAGCTCAGTGGTAGAGTGCTTGCCTTGCATGCATGAAGCCCTGGGTTCGATTCCTCAGCACCACATAAGCAGAAAAAGCTGGAAGTGACACTGTGGCACAAGTGGTAGAGCACTAGCCTTGAGCTGAAGAGCAGAGGGACAGCATCCTGGGCCAGAGTTCAGGCCCCACAACCAGCAAAGTCTTACTGAGTGCTAGTGGCTCAGAGTGCCTGTAATCCTAACTATTCAGGAGGCTGAGATCTGAGGATTGTGGTTCAAAGCCAGTATTGAGACTCTGATCTCCAATTAAATACCAAAAAAACCTGAATGGAGCTGTGGTTCAAATGGTAGGATGCTAAAGACTTGAGCACAAGAAGCTCACAGAGTTTGAGCCCGATACCTGCGCCCCCCCAACCACCGCTTCCCTCCCCCCCAACAAACACAAAAAGAAACTCAGGTACAGTGCCCAGGCGCTGAGTTCAAGTCCCAGGACCAGCACAAAATAAAATAAATCTTTAACAGAAGCAAGCCAAATGTGGTGGGGCACACCTATAATCCAATCACTTGGAAGGGTAATGCAAGGAGGATTGCAAATTTGAAGTCAGTCTGGGCTACACAATGAGAATCTGCCTCAAAAAGAAACTAAAGCCAAGTGCCAGCTGCTCACATGTAGCTACTCAGGAGGCTGGGATCAGAGAGCCATAGTTTTGTTTGTGTTTTGTTTTGTTTTGCCAGTCCTGGGCTTGAACTCAGGGCCTGGGCACTGTCCCTGAGTTTCTTTTTGTGTTTGTGGGGGGAGGGGGGGCGCAGGTATCGGGCTCAAACTGTGCCTGGGCGCTATCCCTGAGTTCTTCAGCTCAAGGTGAGCACTCTACCACTTGAGCCATAGTGCCACTTCCGTTTTTCTGGTGGTTAATCGGAGATAAGAATCTCATGGACTTTCCTGCCCTAGCTGGCTTTGAACCACAATCTTCAGAGCTCAGTCTCTGAAGTAGCTAGGATTACAGATGTGAGCCACCAGCGCATGTCCCTAAGCTTGCTCAAGGCTAGCACTCTACCACTTGAGCCACAGTGCCACTTCTGGCTTTTTCTGTTTATGTGGTACTTCATGCATGCTAGACAAGCACTGTACTGCTAAGACATATTCCCAGGCTGAGATTTGTAGTTTGAAGCCAGGTTAGACAGAGAAGTCTAAGAGACACTATCTCTAGTTAACTACAAATACAAGGCTGGATGTAGGATATGGCTCAAGTGGTAGAATGCCAGATGAGCAAAAAAGCTAAACAAGAGTTTGAGCCCCCAGAATCCAAATGAAACCAATAATGCCAAGATGATAACATAACTCCCCAGTAAAAGGAATTACTTTGAACTACCTGAACACAGTTCTCTGGCTACTGCCTCCACTGCTGGTATTGGCCTGCGAATGCTATTTGGAGGAAGCCTGAACTTCATGAAGTGCTTCTTAAACCCCAGAGCTCTGGGTAGACTGGCCTGAGCTAGCTCTCCCAGCATATGCAATATTGTCTGTTCTTCACACTGCCAGAATATTCTTCTTCCTCCACACTCTACTTCTCTTTGAATATTCTTCCTTGGTTGAAAGCCAGCAAAAATTCTGTGAGGTCTTATTGTTCCTTAACCTTTATCAACCATGATTGTTTTCTCCTCTGAGATTGTTTGGCCCTTTTCCTTGCCTCCTTGATGACCTTTTCCACATTTTACCTTGTGCTATATGGTACTCTGTATTCATGGTTGTGTCCTTGTCACCCTGTGAACTCCTGGCTTAATAAGACTGTATGTTGGGCACCTCCATAACCCCCAAGTCTTTTACATAGTACCCAAGGTTCTCTTAACCAAGGCCGGCATCTGCTTCTGCATGTAGTCTTCATCACAGCAGCCAGAGGAGAACTCTCTCAAGAATGTCTGGGATGGGCTGGGAAGGTGGCTCAGTGGTAGAGCGCTTGCCTTGCATGCATGAGGCCCTGGGTTCGATTCCTCAGCACCACATAAGAAAAAAGAAAAAAGCCGGAAGTGGCGCTATGGCTCAAGTGGTAGAGCGCTAGCCTTGAGCTGAAAAGCTGAGGGACAGCGCCCAGGCCCGGAGTTCAGGCCCACGACCGGACCCAAAAAAAAGAAAGAGAACCTACAAAGATATTCTAGAATTTTCATTTATCATCTTTATTTATACAGTAGACTTTTGTTGAGAGACCTTAGCAAACAACCTTTCCGAGCCTCAGCTAGGTAACACCTCCCTTGCAGCTCCATTCTGAGAGTCAAGTGAGGCAAGAGATGAAGGAAGTACTTATGTACAGGTAGGACATTTTTTTTTAAGATGAAGACAGGGCAGTCGAGGAATTTACAGACTGATTAGACAAGACCTGAACACAAGCTACCATAATACAAGGTCAGAAGTGGTAGAGTCATCAGTGTAAGATAACCTGTAGGTATCCTGTAAGAAAATGCTGTTGCCACTTGGTGTGGTAACACAGGCCTGCAGTCCCAGCTACTTGGATATAGGCAGAAGTATTTCTTGAGCCTAAGATTTTGTAACCAGCCTGGGCAACCTTGGGAGCACCCTGTCTCAAAAATAAGACAAAATCCCCACCAAGGTTACTTGCTCATGGAATAAGTCTGGGAGGAGGAGGTCTGGTGGAAAGGCTCAGCAGGCCTGATAAACTGGCAGCAACAGCAATAGTGAGGCCCAGCCAGGAGCAGCCACCTCCTCTCCTGGGGGCATGTGGCCAGTGATTGTGATTGGCTGGTTCACTTGTGCAGGAAACACCAGGTTCCTAAGAAGAAAAAGCATGCTCTCTACACTTAGGAGTTGATGGTTTGTCTGGGTCACATACACAAAGGAGTGCTGTTCGGCAATATTGCCACCCAGTGTTGGACTTGGTTTCAGGAGTCCTGGGGGCTCTTTGGCACCTTCAAGGACTTCTTTCCTAGAAGAAAGCAGACTATAGACCGTAATACCTGTTCTAGGCAGATGTAGTAAGTGGCTTATGAGTGTTCATAGGAGGACTGTCGATTGGCTGTCTGCATAGTAGAAGCAGGTCCGGAACAGAATCCAGCAAAGTAGCTTAGGGGCCTGGGAGGGGGCCCTGGGAGACCATCAGGGACCTAGTGAACAGTGCCTGACAGAAACAGGACCTTCCCTGTAGCAGAGAGTAGACAATACAATGTAAAATTGCTGTTTCTGTCTGAGAGCCTGCTAATATGCTGGAGAGGATTTTGCATATATTATCTCTAATCCTTAAAACCACTCTTCAAGGTAGGCACAACCCCCACTTTACAGATGAAGAAATGAGGTTAGGAGAGGATTTTCTCAAAGCCATAAAGCTCATTGGGTGGGGAATCAGAAGTCAGCCTCACATTTGCCTGGTTTCCTTCATGCTGGAAGGCTGAGACAATTTTAAGGAATACAGATGCTTCCACACAAACCAAATCAAGATGGACCCACAGCTGTTTCTGCCTTGCCTGTACAACATGGGCACCACCTCTGGCATATCTGCCCAAAATTCCTTCCAGAGCTGGTACAAACTCTCCACTGTGCTACCTCACTTGGCCCCTAGTGCCCCACTCCCATCCCAGGCTCACCCACGCTTAATAAACAATTTTCCCACCCCAAACCCCACTTTTCTCTAGCAGAAGGCCCGAGACATGTATGCAAAGGAGCGGAAGAGGCACCAGCTGGAGAGGGACCAGGCTGCAGTGGCGGAGCAGCTGCTGCAAGAGGGGCTCCAAGCCAGTGGGGATGTCCAGCTCCGACGGACACGCTTGCGCAAACTCTCAGCCAGACGGGAAGAGCGAGTCCAAAGCTTCCTGCAGGCCTTGGAACGCAAAAGGGCTGACTGGCTGGCACGTTTGGGCACTACATCAGCCTGAGTGAGGCTGGCCACCAGCCACTGTGCTCTGCCCTTTACCTCCAGGGCCCCATTCCCTTTTCTTGGTGAAAGGCACCTCCCTTCTGGTGATGAATTATGCTCTGCTCCTCTTGCTTGGCAGGAGAGCCCCCATGGCCACATGTGCTGGCAGTGGATACCTTTGGGTTGCCTGGGGCAGTAGTAGCTCCTGGGGAGGATTGAGGGTGATAGTATTCCACAAGGACACTAAACTCCACTCTTGTAACCAATAGATTTGGAGAACAGAGGGCCCCAACTCAACTGGCTGCTTCCCCGTCTGCCTGTGCTCTTGGATGCACTTTGTTTCCATGAGTATGTCTTTCAACATGCAGAATTGCAGGGAAGAGGTCTTTCCCAATGCCTAGCCTTTTTCCCATCCATCTTCCCGACCAGACTTTCACAAAAGATTTGGCTCTACCTTGGATCTGCTGGTAAATTGCTAGTAGGCAGCCAGAATTATTTAGGCAAGGAAGAAAGGGGCGGGAGAGACAGAAAATTTGCCCATCTGCTGCTCCTCCCCTTGGCTCTCCACCTGGGATTTGCTATTGAGGCTCTACCCCCACCCACTATGCAGGACTGATTGCTCACTGAAAGGCTCAGCGCCCCCAATGGTGCACAGAAGCCAGGCGGGTGATTACAATCCAATTACCTATTGTCGACTCAGCCCACACAAGCTTTTCTCCCCCTCTTGCAGGGCTTGGGGCCAGGCACTGCTCCCAGGGAAACTTGCCCCCTCCGTGGCTACAGGGTAACAGAATGGCCTGTGGGCCCTGGTGAGTCTAATCCAACATTAACACAACAGGACTGAGCAGAACCAAGCATTTCTCCCAACTGGCTCTGCCTGCTGACCCCTGCCTACACCATCACAAACTCTTGATTCCCACTTCCCAGTCTCAGAGGCCCCCTAAGTAGGCTCCAAGACCATTTATCCTGAGCATGGCAAACCCTGTTCCCACCTCTCTAGTGTTAAGGCTAAGGCTGCCCAGCAGGAAGAGGAGGGCAGGGTGAGGGCTGTGTCTTTCCCCTTACCTCCTCCTCAGAGTTGCTGGATTAGGACTTCTGACCAGTTGTCTGCCTAGCAACTGTGCTTCAGGTGCCCCAGAGTAGCAAGTACCAGCCATACTGAATGTTACTTTCCAGTCTTCTCATTTTACTTTCTGCAAGCCATTTTCCCTGCACCTCCAGGAGAGAAGTGGGGTCTTGTAAGCAGTGACGAGTACATCCTGTAGATTCCTAATTTTTCTGTACCCTAGTCCCATCCTGCCTTTCTGTACTTTGGATACCTCTTACTGGGGATGCCTTGGCCATCTCTGCTCCCAGAATCAAGTATAAACGCCTAACACTGCAATTGAAAAGCCAATCCATGCACCCTTTGGCAAGTCCCCCCCCCTGCCACACACACACCTGGCACTCCCCACTACCAGTCCCTGGCACAGAGCTCCCAGAGAGCAGGTGCTGTACAATTTCCAGCTTTACAATGGGGTTGTTGACAGCCTTAATTAGGGAGGCATGAATTATGTGGCTATAACGAAGAGCCCTACAATTAAGGCGGGAATGGAGGCAGCAAGCGGAATCTGCCCTGTGAGCATAGTGGCTTGGGTCCCGTCTCTTCTCACTTTCCCTGGTTGTTGGGGTACAGTAGAGGTGATTAATGGAACAGGTCTCTGGGAAAGGTACACTGAAGGGTGGAGTAGGAAAGAGCTGCCTCAGGAGGCATCCTGGGGGTGGGAAAGATGCAAATTTGACTGCTGCCCAAAGCAAGAAGCAAAATATTTTGTTTTCTTTCTGCTGGCCTGATTTGTGCAAACTAGCCTCTCTCCCTTGCCTCAAAAAGTCAGGCGAGGCCATCTGTCCCCTCGCCTGAAAGCCAACCTCCACGCTGAGGATATTTATTCTCATCTTGTGTTGTGGGTCTAAATAGATTTTTTTAATTCTTAGATGTAAGACTCGTCTGCTAACTGCAACGGAAGTACACCCTGCTTCGCTCCTGCCATTTCCTACCTTCCAGGACCCCTGACTTCGGGCTGAGGCACACCCGAAGAGCCCTTTTGCCTTCACACCTGTTCTCTACTTGTTTCCCAATCCCGCGGTGCTTTCCTCCACCCTCCATTTCCTCCCGCTAGTGAAAGGAAGCCAGCCTGACAGTGTGGAAGGAGGGATTTCACCAGCTGCGGCGTCGGCTGCGCCCAGGCTCGGTGGCCGCGTCGAGTGGGGGCAGCTGGACTAGATGTTCGGGGACTGGGAGTGCTCGGGGGGAGGGGAGTGCCCGAAGGCCGCCGGGGCGACGGCGCCGCGTTCCCACTGGGTCCTAAGGGCCGGGCATGCAGAGACTTCAGGCTTGGAGACGCCTGCCAGGCTTTGGGGGCTCGGTTACCATTTGGGGAGGCAGCTGAGCAGCGGGTGCTGAAAGGACAGCTCCTACCTGCCCGGCAGCACCCAAAATGCACCCCTGCTTGGACGGTCTCCCCCACCCCGCCCTGCGCAGCCGACACCCCACCTGGAGTGAACGGCTTTCCAGGTGGGGCGCACCTACGGCTTTCCCGAAGTGGGAGCTCGGAAGGATGCACGTCCGCCCGCGCCAGGCCGGCCTCCCCGCGCTTTTCCCGCTGGCGCCGCAGCCAGGGCCCCGCGGCGGTGCCTCCCGCCTCCCGCCTCCCCAGCCCGCCCCGGGGGGCCCGCCGCGGGAGCAGGAAGGAAGGCTGCTGAGATGCGCCCCGAGTGTTGCACGGTTTGGAGAAGTGGGCAGCTCGTTGCTTAAGATGGAAGGAACTTGGTAGTTTGCAAAAGCCAGCTCTTGGCGGGAGCGGAACCCCGACTCGCGCGCCCCGCCTCATTGATTGCCCTCGCCGCGCGCCTCCCCCACTGCGCCCCCACCCCCTCGGCGCGCCGCCGTCTCTCGCGCCCTCCCCCCACACACCCCCCTCCTCACTCCCTCCAGAGGAGGTGAGTTTAAACCCCGCCCACGTGACCCCAGCTGGACCAATGAGCTGCAGCGGGAGGTGAAATCCGGTTCTAACCGGTCCGGGGCTCCCAGCGCTATAAAAACTTTATAAACCCCCCGGAGCCCGAGCAGTGTGAAGAAGAGGCGAGAACGACCCCCGGACCGACCAAAGCCGCGCGTCGCTGCATCCTCGCCCAGCGCCTCCGTCCCGCCGCCGCCATGCCCAAGAGAAAGGTACGTGGCGCGAGGGCCGCGGGCGCCGACCGCAGCCGCCACCCTGCCTCCCGCCCGACCGGAGGCGCGGGAGTCGGCGCTGGCCGAGGGGCTGCAGCCGCCAGGCGCGGGGCTCGAGTCGAGGTCGGGGCCTCGGGCTCACCCTGCGCGGCGCCGCTGCCCCAGGCGCCAGAGGCCATATTGGAGGAGGCAGCGGCGGCGGGAGGAGCCATGTTGTTGGCTGTTTATCCTGCTCCCCGCGGGCTCCGAGCCCCCTCCCCCACCAGAATGTCGCCCTCCCCGCGGGCGGGCGTACGATTCAAACCCGAAAGGGCGGGAAGACGGCGTTCGGGGTTGGCGGGCGGGGGAACGCGCTGCCGCCAAAAAACCGCCGCCGCGAGGGGGCGGGGCCGCCGCCCGAGGCTCCGCCCCTGCCCGCCCACGTCCCCGGCGCGCAGGACGCGCGCTGCCGCCGCCCACGAGCTCCTCAGGCCGTGCGCCTCCCTTCTCCCGCCCTCGACGGCTGCCATGGCAACGGCGCCCGGCTCCGCCTCCGGAGGGGTTTGTTTGCACCAGCTGCAGCTGTTGCTCCTGCCTGGCGCGGTGGCGCGGCCCGGCTCCGGTTTTGCCCGAGAGTTTCCCCGCCGGGCCGAGGCCTCCGAACACGCCTTGGGCTGGAACGAGCAGTGGACGGCTTCCTCGAAACCGAGCCCGACATGTTCTGGGAAAGTTGTGGCACTTTTTCTTAGAATCCTGCGGAGGAAAATCAATGAGGATTACTTCAGGAGCTACAGGGTTTTTTTCCTTTTTGGTTTTGTCTTGATGCCTTCTAGGCCGAAGGTGATGCTAAAGGAGATAAAGCAAAGGTGAAGGACGAGGTAAGTGTCCCTTACTTTTCCTTGGTAGTAAATCAACCACGACTCACCTCCCTCTCAGTTTGCCTAGAGTTGTGCTCCATTTCTGTAATGCAGAACAAAGTAACCTTCTGTTTTTATTTTAATAGCCACAGAGAAGATCCGCCAGGTTGTCTGCTGTAAGTGCAAAGTTTTTCCTATCTTATTCTTGAAACTATTGCTTCCAGAGAATTTTATTTTGGGTGATCTCCACCTCGGGGTATTGCACCTTGGGAGTTACTAGTTCTGAAATTCCAGTGGCTGTAGCTGAATTGGGAAAATAACATTCCAAAAGAAAACCAGCCATAAGAAATTTGGCAAGTAGGAGAACCCTTTCTATCCTTTTTTTTTTTTTTAATTTAATTTTATTTTTTTGTGAACATACTGTATAGAGGGGTTACAATCCTTTGTACTGTGATTGAGTTGTTTTGTTTCTTTGCTCTATTGAACTAAAATACTCTCTTCTTCCCCTCTGCCTGCCAAAATAAGAAACCTGCTCCTCCAAAGCCAGAGCCCAAGCCTAAAAAAGCCCCTGCAAAGGTAAGTGAAACTCAGAGATAATAGTGCTAACGCTGGAATTGGTGATTTTCACAGAAAGAGAACTGTCCTTCACCACCTTAACCTAATTCAGCATAATGGTGACTCCATCAATGGATGTTGTAAGTTGTTTTGATAGCCTTATCCCTGCTATTCCTATTAGTTTTCTAGTCAAGAACTTTGTCAGTTTCTTGAAAATGGCTGGAGCGTTAAAACATTCAAGTATTTGACCTGGCTTATTCTAAATGTGAGTTTTTGTATGCCGAAGACCACAGTAAATTAATGACTAGGCTTAGTTTGGATCATTTATTATAGGTGGGGGGAGTTGGCTTCAGTAAGCAAGCCTACCTTTTACACCATACAGAACTTTGCAGACTGTAATCTGGCCCACATGAATAAAGAGGAACAGTTCTCTTTCTCTTCTTTTTTAGAAGGGAGAGAAGGTACCCAAAGGGAAGAAGGGGAAAGCTGATGCTGGCAAGGATGGGAATAACCCTGCAGAAAATGGAGATGCCAAAACAGACCAGGTACAGTTGTTTCATTTTTTCAGTAGATGTGCACATTGTAATCTATATCACTCAAATATGTTGTGCTTTCCTGCTGACTGAAATCCTGGATTCTTAAGATCTTTTCCATTATCAAAAGACACTGTTGTCCTGATATCCTACTAAAGCTTCACTACACCATTTACCCCCCCCCCCCCCAACTTCTCCCCTCCTCCCCCTTTTTTTTTCTTTTGTCTTATGGTGCTGATCCTGGGACTTGAACTCAAGGCCTAGGCGCTGTCCCTGAGCTTTTGTGGTCAAGGCTAGCAGCCTGCCACTTCCAGCCACAGCTCTGCTTTGGTGGTGGTTAATTGAAGATAGGATACTCACAGACTTTCCTGCCCAGGTTGTCTTTGCATTATGTTTCTCATGTATCAGTCTCCTGAATAGTTAGGATTTCAGGATTAAGCAGTTGTCAACCAGCTCACAATATATATATATGTTGCATACTTATAGGTACACCAGTCCTGGGCTTGAATTCAGGGTCAAGGCACTGTCCCTTAGCTTTTTGAACCACACCTCTGCTTCAGCTTTTTGCTGATTAATTAGAAATAAGAGTCTCAAGAAGTATTGAACTTCCTCTAGGACAAAATCTGAACAGACACTATACATCTAATGCCTTATTAATCTTTTTATTTCAGGCACAGAAAGCTGAAGGTGCTGGAGATGCCAAGTGAAGTGTGTGCATTTTTGATAGCTGTGTACTTCTGGTGACTGTACAGTTTGAAATACTATTTTTTATCAAGTTTTATAAAAATGCAAAATTTTGTTTTACTTTTTTTTTAAAGCTATGTTGTTAGCACACAGAACACTTGTTTTGGGGAAAGGAGCATCTGTCACTAATAGAATGTCTCCAAAGCTGGATAGATACAGGGAAAACACCTTTCCCTGCTAGTTTTGAGAGACTTCTTGTTGGCTCCCAGGAGGAGGAATTCCCTCATGTTGACACACAGCCATCTTGGCACAAACACCTTGTGATGTGGGAAAACTCAAAATAACTTTTGTCCTTCTCCTCCTCCATCATCAGCATAGACTTAACTCCCTTAAAACCAGAGGCCAGTCGGGACCTTAACCCTCCCTGCCCCCACCAATTGGTTTTTCCAATGTGCCAGGCAATCTGGACCTGACAGTGACATCATTGAGATGGTGTTCCTTAAAAGAGCAGTAGTTTCCTTTTCTAAATCGTGGATTTTCAGATTGATAATTCTGCCATTTTCACTTCCTGAAAGTCAGGGTCGGCTTGTGAAAAGTTGTTAAACAACATGTTTAATGTGAAATGTCAACCCTCACTCTAAACTTTCCCTATTCAGAGCTTCAAATGAAGACGTCATTGGGTTTTATAATGGCTTTCTGATTTTGATAGTCCATCCAAAAAGGGAGTTTGAAAGTTGTTGTATACTGTTTAAAAACAAAAAAAAAGATTGTCTGCCCATGTCCTGCCTGAAATACCATGATTGTTTATGAAAAGTATCTTTAATAAAGCTGGATACAGTTTGGCTTGGAATGCTGCTTGTGATCTTTTCAGATCATTAGAAGCCTGGCTTCTCAGGTCTCTTCAATTCTGGGGGTTTTTTTGGGGGGGGAAGGTATTTTTTTGTTTTTCAATGTAAAGGTTACGTTTGTAGTCAAAATTCATTGGTCTTAGCCGGGCGCTGGTGGCTCACGCCTGTAATCCTAGCTACTCAGGAGGCTGAGATCTGAGGATCGCGGTTCAAAGCCAGCCCGGGCAGGAAAGACCGTGAGCCTCCTATCTCCAATAAACCACCAGAAAACCGGAAGTGGCGCTGTATGTAGCTCAAGTGGTAGAG